TGTTGGTCATCGAAAATAGCATCTCTCTGATGCCGACGCCTTCCTCATTACTCGCAGTTGTTGTAGCGACACGAATGCGGGAGACGAGAGTGGACACCTCCTGCTCTCTGATGGAGCAGAACGAAGAAACGCGTCTAGCACTGAGCAGCTCCACGATGCAGATCTTCCGCATCTGGCGCCAGTAATTCCCGTAAGGCGCGAAGCCGATGTCCTTGCAGCCATAGAGGATGATGCTCGGGGCCAGGAGACTGGGCCTGGAAGCGAAGATCAAGTCGTGGGTTTTCAGCACCAGTTTCGCGCCTTCTGGGTTGGAGATGACCACGTTGGCCACCTCCCCGAGCTGCAGGCTCATGACGGGCCCGTATCTCTGGGCCAATTCCTCCACTGAACATCAGCTGGTGTACGTTCCCAAAGATGGGCAGCTTCCATGGCCCTGGCGGCGCTGCAGATCTCTTGTGCCGACAACACTCGGCAGCCCCAAATGAAGGATGCTAAAAATAGTACGAGTGGGATCAGAAGCAGGGTCGGCGAGATGGAGGAGATGTGTATCATCATCAATTCATCATGAAGCTCTCTCTCTATTCTTCTTGGTGTTTGTCCAAATAGGAACGACTGATCTCTTCTTGTTATTTTTTATTTTTGGTGAAATCTGATCTCTTCTTTTTCTAGGAAGATTGGAGGAGGGAAAGCAATAGTTGACTTCTGGGCGGCCACTAATGAGGAGAATTGAACCAAATGATTATTACTAAATTTGAGGGTAATGGCGTATTGTAGTTATAATATTAATCTGTTAAATTTTTTTTTTATTATTATTCTCACTTGTAAGGCCTAGTAGCGGGGGAGGGGGATTGAAGATGAGACCTCTATGTGCAAATCCACTTGTCCACTAGCTAGGTTGGATCTCTTTCGCAAGTGAACTTATTTTCGTTAAAATATAGGAATTTTTATTTTTTATTTTGATAATCATGATCAATAAGTAATTAGCGACATTACAGTTTGGTTTAATGGTTGAATAATCAACTCCACTCACTAGAAGTCAAATGCTGTCTGGTGACGACTTCGCTCCAACAACTCCAATCACAAAAGGAGACAGTTGTTGATCAATGGCCAACTTATGTATTATTCTTGTATAGTCTAAATTCCGATTTTAATTTTATGATTTTATCTATTGGTCCTGATTGACTCGCACGAACCTACCCCACAATAAAATCCTGAATAAAGTTCAAGTTTTTAAACTCTAGTCGGGTGCAGTATAAATAAGATATCAACCCGGGTCGGTCTGTCTATTCCTACTTCGGTTGTTTTAATCATTATCTAGCAACAAAGTTTAGGTTTAAAAGTTTGCTAATTGTAACAAAATAGGACAAAGGTGAATGTTTTTGAAAACTCTTTTGTGGAAGGATCACTCGGGTGTCGCTTCCCCCTAACTACTACCATGATATGTGAATTGGAACGATTGTTTTGCGCAAGGTAAACGCGAAACGCAGAGGGATGCATATATGGTCGGAGACCACAATCTCAATTGCTAAACCGAGGTGAACATTAAAGGCCGTATCAATCGACTCTCTCGGTTTAGGCAATCGGTAGTTGAGTTACTCCCTCATCAACCCTGAAACACACTAAAACACAAAGAACCAAGCATAAACCATAAAACCAACCTTTTAGGAGAGTGAATTTGCCACAAACAACTAAGTTAAACGGGGCAAAACATGTACATTTAGGCCTGAATCACTCCCCCACATGATTTTACAATAAAATTTTGGAAACTTAAAATCCCATAAAATTCTGATTTAAAACTATACGATTTCTACGATTTTGTACGATTTCAAGGTTCATGTCAATTGGAGCAGAATTAGGCCGTTCAGGTCAGGGTTTGACCATGAATCGGGTCAAGTTTACTTCCTCCGATCCAACATAATGAACAACATAACACTAACCCGATTCGCGACCCTTAATTTATCTTAGTTCTCTTCCTCATATCTTCCTCTTCTGGAACCAAAGCCCAACTCCTTCCATCAATGATTTCTTCTACCCTCCCAATTAGCTCGTAATTTTTTTCCCACCACCCTCACACTTATCCAATCTCCATTCTATTGGAAGCTTTCGTTCATCTCTCAACACCACTATCTCCACCTTTTATTGATTAAGAAGGGAAATATCATTAATCGTGTAAGCTGTAAAAGTGGGATCAACATCTTCATCTAGTATTGTCCCAAATGAACGTTGCTGCAGATATCCATTTAGTTATATTCTTTCCCTCCCTTTCTTTCTAAATGTGTTTCTCTCTGTTCTTCTTGGCGTATATATAGATTTTATTTTTAATGAACGGCATATGTATAGATTGGAATAGGTGGATATCTTCTTCTTTTTATTTTATTTTATTATTCTATTTTATTTTATTATATGAATGAGTAATGTATATAACTCCCCATTGGTCATTTAAATATAACAGTATCCCTAGAAAGATTGGCGAAGTGAAGGCAACAGTTGACTTCTGACCACCAATGAGGGATATTAGAATCGTTAAAACCGATGATCATCATTGATTTCGAGGGTAATGGGACATTGTAGTTAATATGGGTTCAATTAGAATTTTGAAACAAATATATAAGATGGAATTCTAAAATGATTATGATTATTCTCATGTGTTTTCATATTATGAGTTTCTTTTTTAAAATTTGGATAACTAATTATACGCAATTACTGCTCAAGTAGTGCTTGATTACATTTTTGAAAATTTTATGAAGATCAGGCGGGGTCGGATACTATGCTAATCCCTAAAGGGGTAGTGATTTTCGACACCCTCCTTTTGATTGGTCAGTTTTATACTTTATTATTAGACAAGTATTAATGGCTGTCCCAAATAAATATGGATGGAGAAAGAATTAATTGTCATATTAATTATGCACGAGAAGGAGGCAATTTAGCTGAATCCCCTTTCCCTATGTGCCGTTTCTACTCCCTTTCCCTTTGTTTCTATTTCCCCCCTCCCTCCTCTGCTATTTCCCCTTGTTTCTTTCCATTGTTGTGGAGAACCATAGCTCTGGTTCATCATTACATGGCTGGCGGATATCCCCGCCGCCCTTACAACAAGTCCGACCATCCATGTCGTCGGCCGTCTGCCGTCCTCCGTCTTCCATCTCAAACATCACCTTCCAACAACTTCCTCTTATCCACGGCCTGCGCTTGATCTTTTCCTGTTGACCACCGTCCTTCCACGGTAGAGATTCGATCAACCCTAAGTGGCGGCGACAGAATCTGAAGGTGAGGGTGGTACCACTAGGCGGCAGACGAAACACACCAATGGACTGGTACATGTACCAGTGGAGTGGTACGTGTACCAGTGGAGTGATACGTGTACCAGTGGAGTGGTACGTGTACCAGTGGAGTTTGGAATACATCGTCATGAAAATATTGTGGTCTCCACCACTTTTGAAGTTTGGAATTGATTTTATTATTTTTCTGTTGTCGTAATTATTGGTCAACTTCTTTCAATGTCATTGAAATATCTTTGCCGACGAGTAATGAATAGAAATGGTCTTCGCACAACTTCGGCGGTAATCATACTACTTCAGTGGTAGATATATCCCACTGAACTTGTACTATACCACTAGACTGGTATACATATCAATTAACTGGTACTTATACCACTATACTGGTACTTATACCACTGAACTGATACTAATTAAGACTGTCCTTAATATACCAATACTCATACTTACTTGATCATGAAATATAATTCTGGCACAAGCAACACAATAAACATTTAAATCAGTCAACAAAATAGGAACTTTCTATTAGTAGCCAAAAGTTGTGTTACAAAATGGGTTGCAAAATCAGGGAAATGCCAACAACAATGCCAAAAGCAATAAATTATCATTCGAATGTGAATAAACATAAAGTCTTCACAATTTTTTTAAGCCTAAACAGGACATATGGTTACTAGTACCACTCCACTGGTACATGTACCACTCCACTAGTATCACTCTACTGGTACACGTACCACTCTACTGGTACATGTACCAGTCCATTGATGCGTTTCCTCTGCCGCCTAGTGGTACCACCCTCACCTTCAGATTCTGTCGCAGCTTTTACCACTGTTCACCACTGTTCAAACTCTCCACTTTCACTCCACTGGTACACGTATCACTCCACTGGTACACGTACCACTCCACTGGTACATGTACCAGTCCATTGGTGTGTTTCCTCTGCCGCCTAGTGGTACCACCCTCACCTTCAGATTCTGTCGCCGCCACTTAGGGTTGATCGAATCACTACCGTGGAAGGACGGTGGTCAACAGGAAAAGATCAAGCGCAGGCCGTGGATAAGAGGAAGTCGTTGGAAGGTGATGTTTGGGATGGAAGACGGAGGACGGCAGACGGCCGACGACATGGATGGTTGGACCTGTTGTAAGGGCGGCGGGGATATCCCCTACGTGTTTTCCTCCTCCGACGAGCAACCCACCAGGCGGGTCGGAGGCGATCCCACTGCGACGCTGCCCGATGTTTCCGATTGCGAAGGGTTGCGGCCGGGTTCTAAAGTCGATGGTTCGGGACGAAAGACAGACGACTTCCGACGGGAGGGATGGTTTACAGCGGCGATTTGATGAGTCGGCGGCGAAGGGTTGCTTGCGGGTTCTGAATCCAGAGATATAGAAGGGGAAGGAAACTGAAACGGTGAAATTAAAAAAAAGGTAAGGGGGAATGAATAATTATGAGTGGGGGAAGGAACCCCCTATTTACTTCTTTCTCTTTTTTGATGTAATTAATTACTGAATTAATTACCAATTAACAACTATTTGCAATGACCATTAGATTAAGACTATCTAAAATGGACGGTAAACAAAGTGGGTGTCGAAAATCACTACCCCTTTAGGGGTAGTCAAGCTAACCGATCCCAGATCAGGCTCGTCTGAAGGAAGGAAAAAGAATTTCAGAGGTGCATTTGATGAAATATCAAATTTCAAGGCCCATAATTAACTGTATACCTTACAGAGTTTGAAATCATCGAGTATTAATTAACGGCAGCATACAAGCCATCAATTGCTAGCTGTAATAGGGATGAGGCGCAGTAGTTGTTTGCTTGAGAGACTAAGTCCAGACTGTTCAGTCAAATCCAGGTGTTGACGTCCAACGGGAAGTTTCCAGTCAAAATGGAAGAGCAAATTGGCTAGGCTCAGATGAACAGTAGCCATTCCGAATAGCATGCCAGGGCAACTCCTTCTTCCAGCACCAAATGGTATATACTCGAAGTGTGCTCCTTTATAGTCAATAGATGAGTTCAAGAACCTCTCAGGGTAAAACTTTTCAGGATCGATCCAATGACAAGGATCTCTTCCAATTGCCCATGCATTGACTATAACTCTAGTTTTGGCCGGGATCACAAAACCATTGATCTCAACGGTCTCTCTCGTTTCTCTTGGGAGTAGAAATGGAGCATGAGGGTTTATTCGCATGCTCTCTTTGATCACTGCATCTAAGTATGTCAATTCGTGGAGCCGGTCTTCACAGACGTTTCCCTTGTCACCAAAGACTCGCCTCACCTCTTCTTGTGCTAGTCGTAAAACATTTGGGTTTTGAACCAACTCAGACATAGTCCACTCAATTGTGCTAGCTGTCGTTTCCATACCAGCAGTGAAAACATCCTGGTATGATCACAACAATATCAATTAGCAATGGTAACAATGAGAAAATAAGAATGTAGCTAGCTAGGTAACAAGTAAGAATGTGTTGATACTAACAAGAATAACGGCTTTGATGCCGTCGGTTGTTAAGGGGAGTGAAAGGCCCCCGGTCCGTTGAAGACTGAGCAGAATGTCAACAATGTCCTCTGTTTTATCATCATCGCCCTCATCGTCATTATGATGTTGTATTTTTCTATCTGTTTTGTCTCTGTGTTGGCGGATGATCTCCTCAAGCACGGAATCCGCTCTCTGATGAATCGCCATGAGCTTGGCTTGATAGCCAGTAATTACAGGGATGAATTTGAGGGAAGGGAAGAGATCTGACAATCCGATGCCTTCAAATGACTCCACAATCCGCTCAATTACTGCCAAGAATGTTTCCCTCTGCATCGTCGGCAACTTACCAAAAGCTGACCTGCAAGTAGGTACGGAATGCAGAGACAGAAACAAAAAACAAAAGTCTTAAATAAAGTTGAGAGGACGACAATTATACATTATTGATATTGGGCGTATATCGTGCACATTTGTTTAAAATCATATACGTATGTGATTATAAAATATTTACAATCCTGCATACATATATTTGTTATGGAGAAGAAATCGATCAAGTTTGCCGACCGGTGAGAGTCCATCAACTGGTGAAAGATAATACTGATGTGGTTTTTGTAAGAGTTTTGTATAAGATGTATAATCAATCTTCTCCCAACAATTTGATTGTTTGAAACAAAAGGTACATGACATGGAATCAAAGTTTGTTTGACCAACCAATTGTGTGTTCGAATGTTCAAAATTCCGAATTTTATTTAGGCAAAATACACCTACATAACCATAACTATCCACTTTTTGACAATAATAGTCACTTTTTAAAAAATACGCTGAAATAGTCATTCCGTAAAAAATTATACGGACTAATTGTGAATGCTGACTGGACTAACGGTTATGGTTGGCATGACAAGTTTTGGTAAAAAATCATGGTAAAGGAAACCGGATCGTACCGGCCGGTTCAACCGGTAAAACCGGGAATCAAGCCAGTGACGAAACGGCACCCTACCAGTGCCTATTCTACCGCGCCGGCCGGTATTAACGGCGTAACCGGCATTTCCCGGTATGCCGTCCGGTTTACATCAGACCGTCCGGTTCACCAGTCACGCCGCCGACTCCCTTTCCGCGATGAATCCTCCGGCGAGTGGCAAGTGCTGCTAATATCCACACGAGTAGTCAATCTTAGGGATGAATAACACGAGATTTACTGGGAGGGAGGGCACTAGATTTATGTTACCCAATTCGCCTAAATAGCCCCCGCGATCCCAGCTAGTTCGCGCCAGCCGATGACTCTTTTTCTTCTTCCCTCCTTCGATTGAGACCAAACGCAGAAATAAAATGGGCCAGAATTCTAAAATTTAAACAAATTAGAATCTATCAAAAAAAAAAATTGAACATGCAAGTCTCAAAAGGCCTACCGAAAGAAAAAGATAGAGAAATCCAATAAGCTATCGCAAATTCTAGTAGTAAAACAGAAGCAGAGGAAGAGTGGAGAGAAAATGGTATGGAGATGAGAATCAAAGCTCAGGAGGGTTCCCGGACAACATGCAATAGAGTAAAACAGAAGCAGAGGAAGAGTGGAGAGAAAATGGTATGGAGATGAGAATCAAAGCTCAGGAGGGTTCCCGGGCAACATGCAACAGAGTAAAACAGAAGCAGGAGGAAGAGTGGAGAGAAAACGGATGCAACATGCAATAGAGGAATTCGCCTTTCATCATCGTTTGGAGGGTTCCCGGGCAATCAACATCCTCCGTTGTAGTTCATTTTTCAATCTCTTGGCAGAGACGATGAAGGAGATGGAAAGTGAAGGGCTGTGTGCGGCAGAGAATTTCTATGGGAAGAGAGCGAATAGAAAGAGATGAGAGATAAAACACATTAACAAAATATGGCAAAATAAAAAAAAAGAAAGACGTGAGATCATTAAAGAAAAAGAAAGAAGTTACTGATAAAGAATAAAATCAGGGGAGTTACCAATTTTATCTAACTAATAAGCTATTAAATTGAAATATCACTTTTCATAAAACAAATCTAAAATAAAATATAAAAAGAGTGGTATGTTGAATCGGACCAATCAGCTCCACGGCTCCACTTGAAAATAGTTTTTGGGTTTTTATATATGTTTAGAAAATAATTAATATTAATATAATATTAAATATGTCTATTTAGTTTATTCAGGTTTGTTATCCGGTATATTCCGGTTTTATTTCGGTATTATTCCGAAATGGTATCCTGAATCTGCCGGCACGGTTTTTTAACAAAAAAATATTATTTAATTACAAAAACGGTATTTTGCCGATACACAACGATTGAACCACGGTAGTACCACAAAATACCCTACCACTAACGGATCCGGTATGACTTCCGGTACGGTTTCCTTTACCATGTAAAAAACTAAAAATTCACCAGGTGAAAAATTAGCTATTTTTATTTAAATAAAATAAAAAAGAAACACAAAAAGGAACGAAAGGTCTTCCTCTTCAACATACCACCTCATCTTCTCTTCACCGACAAAACCCTCCACCCACCATTGTTTCCGATCAACAGAGCCCCTCCAATCGACGCACCCTTTGGGCGGAGACCCTTCCTTCCTGTAGCGCATGCTTCCGGCGTCCATCCCACATCATTTCACCCGGTCATCCCCAATCTTCGACAAGAGTCCTTCCAGAAAATCGTTCAAGAGACCACAAGAGCCTCGAGTTCCACCGCTTTCATCTACAACGACCCATTCTGTTCTCTGACCTCACCGCCTTGATCGATTCGGGAAGGAAAGGAGACGAAGCGGCTAAGAAGTGAGACAAAGATTTTTTCAATTTGATTCTAGGGTTCGAGATGGGATTTGTTCTATTTCTTGGATTTGATTTACTCGCAAAGGGTTTTTCAGTGTGGTTTCGTCGATTTGATCCTCTGGGTTTTGCTTCGGAAAGAATCAAAAAGAGTTCATAGAATCATCTCGACAGCTAGTCACCACAAAAAGATGTCTTAGATTCATCTCCTCTGTGGAATTGGAAAAACAGAGCAACGACAGCTCGTCACCACAAAATGACCCAAGAATCCGGCCAGAGGATTAGGAGCAAGGTTTGTTGGAGTCATCTCGACGCACTGCTTCTTCGCCTGAACGAGATCTGAGCTCAGCACTCAGCAGCCCGTCACCATCGCAGCTTTTAGGAGATGGGATTAGGGTATTTTTGGGTGAGTTTTATTTGTCAGCGGTGGTGGCGTATATATATATATATGATATATCTTGTTTATTTTTTTATATTTAAAGTGTGACGTGGCATCGATGTGGTATGGAGTGATGAGGTGGACATGAAGTGTCGTTTATGTGGCATCCACGTCAGTTTAGAGTCCACTTAATTGACGAAGTAACTGACGGTGTTAAAGTATTTAACATAAATGGATAAATTTGTCAAACAAGTTTTAAAATTATGGCTATATCTGTGTATTTTTCAAAAAGTGACTATTATTTTCACACACTCAATTTTTGTGGTTATGCATGTGTATTTTGCTTATTATTTATTAATTTTGGCTAAAACACAAATATATGATGGACTTGTGCAAACTTCAAGTCCGTGACTTTTGTTTGATGAGGTATGTAAGTGAGTGAAATAAGATCTTTAATTAATCTTCTCTCAATTACTCAATTGAGTAATATAAAAGATCGGTGAGAATTATAACCGGAGGAAAACTGAAAATATGGGGCACAAAATTTCATCGAGGAATTTCACTATGCTTTAAAGCATTGGTGCTTTAATTTTTACCTTTATTGTACAACTTGAAGTTGTACCCAATATAGTCAAAATCGCGCTTTAAAACTTAAAAACTTACGATTTTACGTTTATAAGTCACTAAAACGCTTCTACACAAAATCTCAGTTTTTATAACTTATGTAGTTAAAACTCCATTTTTAAAACTTAAAAACTTATGATTTTACGCTTCTAGATCACCAAAACGTTTCTACGTAAAAACTCGCTTTTGACTTCATTGGTTGTACCTTTTACGTTACGATCCAACTTAAGGTTGTAACTACACTTTTTGAAAAATCCTTTTATGGTACAAACTAAGTTGACTTTTATGTTATGGTACAACTTGAAGTTTTCAAGTTGTACCATGACATAAATGTCAAATTCTCTTATGATACAACTTCAATTCGTACCTTTAACGTTATGATAGAACTCAAATTTTATTTTACACCAGTACTTTAAAGCATGGTAGAAGTGTTCTACTTTATACCCCAGTTCAAGAGTGACAGGATGGCGATGATGTTTTTTTACCGTAAAAGGCGACCGATGGCGTTAACCATCTTGTCCTGCCGTTTCTCCACTCGCTTTTCCTCCCTTCATTATGATCGAAGAACTAGTATCCTACTTCTCCTTCCAATCTATCAGTTACCTGTTTTAAAATATTGAATTTCCATATTCGTAGAAGCTTTGGAATCTATCAGAAATTAAATATTTGTGTGTCTCGATACTTTTCATAATTTATTCATTTCTGCATTCACTTTCGTTGATATAGGAAATAGGATAGGGTGCATAACTTCCATAACAAGATTTATATCTTTAGATTTAAGTTTGCTTTTATGTTATGGTACAACCAGTGCAGTCAAAATCGCGCTTTAAAACTTAAAACTTACGGTTTTACACTTCTAGGTCACCAAAACGCTTTCGTTTCCACATAAAATATGTAGTGTATAAAATAGGACTAAAATGCGTTTTGATGCTAAAAAACTTACGGTTTTACGATTCTAGTTCACCAAAACGCTTTACGCTTTTACGCTTTTAGTTCACTAAATGGCTATTCTTTTCATGAAATTAATTATAAAAAGTATATTTTAAAGGTAAATCACCAACAATATAATACATTTGAGATTAAAAGATACATACTAGGTACTTGGATGCATTCCCAGCTTCTATAGAGTAATCTAATTCACTAGTTAGGCTCTTCCCAAATTTATTAGCATAGAGGGGAATGTGTCTTATTGTTAAGATTTATGTTTATGAACATATTATTAACATGCTATAAAGTGCTCTACTTTAGGCATGAATTGCATATATTTATTAACTTATGTAAATTCTATGCATTCATATTTTACATAGTATATGTCGTACTTAACATATTTTTAGTTATTTTACAGTATGCGTCAAAAACATAGCTTTTACGCTTTGATTCCACGCTTTACGATTTTACCCTTTTTTCCGCTTCTAGATAGAATCGTGCTTTCGACTACATTGGGTACAACTTGAAGTTTTCAAGTTGTACAGTAACATAAATGTTAAATTCTCTTATAATACAGCTTCAATTCGTACATTTAACGTTATGATAGAACTTCAAATTTTATTTTAATACACCAGTACTTTAAAGCACGGTGGTAGAAGTACTATTCTATTTCATCTCCCGGTTCTAAGAATGACAGGATGGTGATGATTTTTTTACCATAAAAGGCGACCGATGGCGTTAACCATCTTGTCCTGTCGTTTCTCCACTCGCTTTTCCTCCCTTCATTATGATCGAAGAAATAGTCTCCGACTTCTCCTTCCAATCTCTCAGTTACCTGTTTTAAAATATTGAATTTCCATATTCGTAGAAGCTTTGAAATCTATCAGAAATTAAATATTTGTGTGTCTCGTTACTTTTCAGAATTTATTCGTTTCTGCATTCACTTTCGTTGATATAGGAAATAGGATAGGGTGAATCACTTCCATAACTAGATTTACATCTTTAAATTTTATTGGGGCAAAAATAGTCTAGATCTAAGTGTTATAAATTAATGGTTTATTTTTATTTTTCCTAGTTATCTAAATCATCTCTTATATTAAAAATTATTGGTCCAACCGGTAATGATCAATTTTCATCCTAAACCAAGGTTGTCGACCTGCGGGTTGACCCGGACCCGGTCGAGCTAGTGGGTCAAGGGTTAATGGGTCAACCGTTTAGCCCGGTTTGGCACGGAAATATGGAAAGAGTCATTATATTGTACTTTTCCTTATAAATTATATCAAATCTTATCTAACATATGAGTTATAACATATAATATTACACCAAAATAACATATCGTACTTAGATATAGCATAAAGTGAAAATTCACACACACTTATATATATCAATATTCAAATATTCAACTTAGGATTCCAAAGATTGAGTCAGGCGAAAAGAAAAATCGGAAAATATGCGTATTTCGCAAACCAAAGAAAAAAAATGACACAATTTGACCTTCAACCCGGTACCGTATAACGGTCGACCCGACGGGTGTGTGCGGCCCATTTTTCTCACAGGGTCAGAGTCAAAGTGGGTCGACCCGCGGGTCAATCCGCGGGTTGACAACCTTGTCCTAAACAAAATGACGTTGAATTGGTGACTTAAGTAGGAAAGAAATTACGTATTTTAGCAATATAAAAAAATTAATCTAGTGATGATGTAATTGATGCGGTAGATTGTCCCAATATCCACAATTATACATGGAGAGAAGTTTATATCTTTCGTCACCTTATTTTAGTTTTTTTTTTTCAATTCCAATTCCAACCAGTGGAAACAATACAATTCAGAGCAGTGACGCTAAGAGATCAGCAACAACAATCCAATCTCTAAAGAGCAAATCAAGTCTAGTATTATGTGCAACCCAACCTCATTTTGATTAAAACGTTAGGAAGTTGGTTGAGATTTCGATAGTCAAATAATAAGTTTGACTTAATTAATTGAATCCCGGGAAACGGGAAAATATAATTTTTTGTCGGTAAATCGGGAGATTCCCTTTCATCACACACTTGAATAATTAGCACAAATCAAACAATGGGCAATGGCAGATACAGACATATTGCCAGGACGGCAGACGAAGCATCGCACGTAATGGCACGTGATGTTATGAGAGGATCAAAGATATATGTACATGATAAGATCTCTATTTTTTTAAGTGGAGATAAGATATCATCGTGATTGGAACTACAAATTTCTGAAGAAAAAAATAATAGAACGATATATACCATCCCAGTATAGAGTGATAACTGGTGGCAGTGACGGATACAGAGATTTTACATAGGGATGTACTCTTCTAAAAATTATATTAAATTAATTATTAAAAAAAATCGGACTTGTAAGAAATACAACAAAGCATATTACATGTTCTTATTTTGGAAAAATCGTAAAATACAATCGTTGTCTAACAACAATCGATATATCCTATTAGACAAGGGGAGTCTGTGATTGGGTTTAATCGTTAGTTTTGAAAATAATGGGAGATAAGAAATAGCTTTTTACTGTTACATTTGAATTTAAAAGACAAGAAGCGGAAACTCTCAAAGCAACTGGAGTAAGAAATCCACAAGTAAGCCTTTTATGGGCAAATGAGCTGCAGTCTAATGAAAAATATATTTACTTATAGTAGTAGCGACCCAAGTTCAAATCACATAGACTAACACTTAAAAGTTTTTATTTACCCATACACAAACTACTACTGGGAGTTGGATAGTCGTTTTTGCAAATATTATCGGTGTCCCGCTATCAATTAAATATTTTTTTTATCCATATGTATACTGTCATCGGGCATTGAATAATCGTGTTCTCAAATTTTAGTGGTGTCGCAGGACTCCTCAAAGCTCCATGGATCCGCCACTAACTGGTGGTAGACGATGACCAAGAGTCATAAAAGAGCACTAGTATATTCCTACGACCATGCATACTACCATTATACAATATAGTATATTTATACCACCATGATACACTTGCATACCACGTGGTATAATCTTATGTACTACCAAGCATTATGGACTGGTAATAAATCTCATAAATTTTTTTTTAGTTCCAAAATATGTTAAAGTGAATATCATTTTGAAAAAACAATTAATTTGAATTTTCTGTGAAATTTTTTAATATGATTTAAAACAATAGAGATATAACCGATAAATTAAATCGGGATAAAAGTTAGGGTATGCCTATGGTGACATGCATGTCAGCGTAACCTGGATTTTTCGGTCGACCTAATCCTAATAGAGGTCGACCGAATACACTATTGTGGGCACCCTGAGACCTTATCGCGGTCGACCTTTAAAATGTAGTGGTCGATCATATAGAGTTTAAGTTGTCATTGTTGGTCGACGACAAAAAAAAAAAAAAACAAAAAAAAAAAATTGGCCGCCCTTTTCATTGGCGTCAGAAACAAAATGGTCGACCATAAAGGTATATAGGCCGACCACTTGATGGCGGTCATTAACAAAATGGTCAACCATTTACAAAAAGAGGCCGACGAGATAGAAGAAAAGTGTTGTATCCATTTATCCATCATCATTTGACGTAAAATGAAGATCGTGTTGGTTTCGCGGTCGACCTAATAAAGGTAAATAAACCTATGCCTTGCGTCTTTTTGTTTATGTATGTTGATGTGGGTGGTTCATTTGCTTGTACAAATTACGTTTCAAACCAACAGAATCAATCATAAATAATGAAACAACATATTAAGTCGACCTAATCATATATTAGGTCCATCGAAAAGTCCATTACATGAATGTCACCTATGCAAGGTTATGCAATTATGTACCGAATCTATTAGTAGTATGGTTAAAAGTACTACCTGGAAGTGACGTTGCTGGCCAGCGAAAGTAGCATCTCTCTGATGTCGACGCCTTCCTCATCACTCGCAATTGTTGCAGCGACACGAATGCGGGAGACGAGATTGGACACCTCCTCTTCCCTGATGGAGCGGCACGAAGAAACCCGCCTGGCGCTGAGGAGCTCCATGATGCAGATCTTCCGCATCTGGCGCCAGTACTCCCCGTAGGGCGCGAAGCCGACGTCCTTGAAGCCGTAGAAGATGATGTTGGCGGCCAGGAGACTGGGCCTGGAAGCGAAGGCTAAGTCGTGGGTTTTCAGCACCAGTTTCGCGGCTTCTGGGCTGGAGATGATCACGTTGGCCACCTCCCCGATCTGCAGGCTCATGACGGGCCCGTATCTATGGGCCAATTCCCTCAGCCGGATGTGGGGAGCGCGGCCTCGGGTGAACATTAGCTGGTGTAGGTTCCCGATGACGGGCAGCTTCCATGGCCCTGGCGGCGCTGCTGCAGATCTCTTGCCCAACAACACTCGACAGCACCAAATGAAAGATGCTAAAAATAATAGAATTGGGATCAGAAGCAGGGTTGGCGAGATGGAGGAGATATGTATCATCATCATCCGTTTATTCGTTCCTCTCAATTTCTCTCTTTGTTTCTTTGGTAATGGGTCTAACTCTGTTATTCTTGGTGTATTTGTTTGTATAAATACAGGGAAAGTCTGATCTCTGGTCTTTTTTTTTTTTAGGTGTGGTCTTTTTTTTATATATAGGAATGAGTAATTTAGCTAGCTCCCGATTTGTCATTTAAAAAATAAACGGTATCCCTAGCTATAAAGATTGGAGGAGATAAGTGGGGAATATATAATTGGGGGAATATATTCGCTTGATCTCCAGGTTGGAGGGAAAAAAGATTGAAGGATCTGAGGTTGGCGTGCAAATAATTGGGGAGGGTTTAAGCTGGGGCAATATGGGAATAAAGAAAAATTACTAAGGATATAAATGAAAATAAAAAGAAGATATAAATATCATGGTTTAAAAAGGCACGCTTAATCTTACGCTTAGGCACGTTTAGGCGCTAGGCAATGGCAAAATGCCTCGCCTAGGGATTTCGCGCCTAATTAGATACCAGAACACGTTAATGGAGTACGGCGACATATAAGTCTCTCCTAAACATTACTAGATGGAGCTAAGAAGTCAATATTAAATACCAAAATTAACATCAACTATGAAATCAATTATCTATTGCAATATTTTCAATAGCTCAAGAACTTTGTGAACTATTGAGCTATGATTCTATGAACTCGTAAGCTGTATTCCTGTCATTAAGTGTCGAGTAAGTTATTAATCATTTTAACTGAAGTGACGAAGTGTTGTAGATTATTATTTCATTCATCAGGCACTGCGAATAACTATTTTCTTCCAACGCCTAGGCACGCTTAGTCAATGCCTAGGCGAGCTAGGCGCAAGGCAAAGGCTCAACGCCCGCCTTACGCCTAGCGCCTTTTTGAACCTTGATAAATATAAAAGAAAAATCACAATAATCTTAACTTTTAGTTGATATTGTATAATACCTTATTTTTTGTGATTGTAGTTGAGACCCACACAAAACAATACATGCATTGTTTCACACTTTGACAATTCCATACATTATATTGTGGACAATACATATATTTTATAAATACAACAGTCACAATCGCAACTTCCAAATGATCCCTTCGTAAAAGTTATGGAACAACAATGATTTCTTAAAAAACTTTAATTACGTAAATCTTACATGTCATCCGTTATTGCTCTAATTTCGACGGTACTATTGGGGGGACTCCATTAGTTATATACTTATATTCCTTCCGCTCCCATTCTTTCTTAATGGATTTCTCTCTGTTGTGTATCTCTAAATTGGAATATGATGACCTAGAATATTCAAATGATTATCATGGTAATAACCAAATTAATTATGTTTAAATTTTATTAATCATGGAATACAAAACCATAACCAAATCGATCAAATTAATACAACAAAATCAACCAAATTAAAGTTTCTTGGTTTATTTCTTTTCTTTACAACTTACCTCTCCTGCTTTCATTTTACCATTTGTATGTTCTTAAATGCTTTTATTTTCCATTTTTATCTTTAATGATTTTGGCCTTTTGGGTGTAACATCTATGTAATAACATTTTACAACTATATATTACTTCAAATACACATTCATTCATGCATCTTTGAGTCACCTACACTGGTCTATCTTCGATGCTCTCTACCGAAAAGTCTCCGGCTACGGCTCCGACACTGGCCCTTCCACCTACCGATAGGCCGCCGGAGGTGGAAATGAAGGAATCAAATCCCCCCCGGTCGCGGCTGAGTCGACGACCAATAAAGACGGATCCGGCCTACTGGCATCTCATAAAGAAGCCAATGGGGCTCCTGCCGGCGCTGCGAGTCAATCTAAAAAAGTCCAGCTGTCGATCTCGTACAGTTTAGCGGTGACAGGGTCTCCGAGTAAAACAAAGCAGCCGATTGTGCCTTGGACTTATGTGGGTGAACATGATCTGCTGCCAGGCTCCTTCAACGGCGAGCCGGAGCTTAAAGTCTCGGAGGGCTTCAAAGCCAGGCTGTGCGACCCATGGAAGAAGACGCTCGTCGTCCGCCTGCTGGGTCGCCAGATATCATATGCTTATCTATGCTCCCAGCTCCGGTGGCTATGGCGTCCCACCGGGAAGCTAAACATTATGGATCTCGACAACGACGTGTTCCTGGTTTCTTTTGACAATGACAATGATTATTTCAAGGCGCTTACAGGAGGACCATGGACAATCCTCGATCACTATCTGGCAGTGCATCAGTGGACCCCAGCCTTTCGGGTCGGCGAGCAAACACCGAGAACGGTGACGGCCTGGGTTCAGTTCCCTCGGCTCCCAATACAGTTCTACAATAGAGAGGTGCTGTTTTCCCTTGGTAACCTTCTTGGCAGGACAATTAAGCTTGATTATCATACAGAGAATGGTGTTCGTGGGAAATTCGCTCGTATCGCTATTGAGCTAGATTTGTCAAAACCTTTAAGACCAAGAGTTAGGCTCGATGGGTTCTGGCAAAAAGTGGTGTATGAAAACCTGCCGAATGCCTGCTTTGAGTGTGGAATTATTGGTCACACGGACAGTTCATGTCCCCAGCTTCATCAAGCTACGGTTTCCTCCACGGCGGCGACGCCCGGTCAACCAGATGTCGGTCCGCTGCCGGCGATGGCAGATTCAGACACTCCCGCAGGCTTCGGGCCCTGGATGCAAGTAACACGGAAGTCGCGCAAAGCAGATCGGAAGATCCCAGCACAACAGGCGAACAATCAGGCACATTCCCAGGAGGCCAAAATCGGGAAACAGATTCAAGGGTGAAAGGACGTTGGAGACCTTCCAACTGGCACCGACAAAAATCTCTCAACGAACGGGAAAGGAAAGTCTAACGTGCATCAGTCCGGAGGGATGGCACCGAGAAAGGAGGATCAGAAAAGCAAAGCGAAAAATCAGGGGGGAACGTCATCGTCCAGCACCGCTCAATAGGAAAGGGAAAGGAAGAAGAATAGTGGCGGGCAATCTACTCAGGCAGACCTAATGGATAAATTGGGTGGCCCAAGTAACGTCTCTCCAAACGGCGACTCTTCCAAGTCTTATGGCAAGGGAATCTTAGGCCCAAGCCCAACCTCCTCCCAGACCCCCCTATCACGGACTCCTCCCACTCCCGTCCTGAACACCGTCCCAATCAACCAGGCCACCATGGGCAACTCGCGGACTGTATTTGGGCCCAATGGGGAACTTGTCACTATCACCGACGTCTCGTGCCCGGAGCCTCCCCCTCCCCGAGCGAGTGATCCCGACATCCCTCTCTCGAGCCTGCGAATCAAGAATGGCCAGAAAAAGACTCCCCGGCCAACAAAAAGTGGAATTCCGATCAATAATACGGCCAAACCCCTCCATATCTGGTCGCCGAAAAAAGAGAAGAAGACAAAGAACAGAGAGAAGTTGGTTACGCTAACGCTCCAGGAGATTGAAGCTTGGAGCTCGGCGGCCCAGAAGCAGACGTCGGATGCCTCAATTCCTACGAAGATCGTCGTCCCGTCGAGCATCTTGGCAACACAAAACAGCTTGAGTGTCGCCGCGCAAGCGAGCATGGACACCACCGAGCTCTAGACGTTTCCCTTCCTCTTCTTTCCCCCTTTTTAATTTTTTAATTTTTTTGCTATGTTAGTTCTTCCCAATCTTAAAGTTATGTCGTGGAATGTGGGTGGTGCAGGTAGCAGAGCTTTCCTCAGGGCTTTCAAGCTGCTGATCCTGCAGAACAAGCCGGATTTTCTTATTCTTTTGGAGCCTCAAATCAGTGGCTCAACTGCTGATGTTGTTTGCAGCAAATTGGGGTTTCCTGATATCCTTCGAGTTGAGGCGCATGGTAGGAGTGGGGGCATTTGGCTTTGTTTGGACAAGAGGAACTTCATCGTGGAGATTGTCTCAGCGTGCTCTCAGCACCTCACAGTCAAAATCTCTAATAGCTCTTCCTTTTCTTGTCACCTTACTGCAGTTTATGCTTCCCCTAACTATCAGTTGCAGCCGCATCTCTGGAAGAAGCTAATTGACTTCAGCTCTTCGTCGTCCATTCCTTGGCTTATCACAGGAGATTTCAACTCCTTCCGCTCCCTGGACAAGAAGTCGGGTCTAGCATAGGCAAACACAGCCCGCCGTTGCCGGCTTTTTAACGAGTTTATTGATCGTGCAGGGCTCATTGATCTGGGCTTCTCTGGTCCACGGTTCACCTGGTCAAGGGGGGATTCCGCGCAGACTTTTAAAGCTAGCAGAATCGATCGCAGTCTATGCAACATTGGATGGAACACGACCTTCCCCGCGTCCTCAGTCCTTCACCTTCCTCGCCTTCAATCGGACCACTCTCCTATTCTTACCTCCACTGGAGTTCAGGGAGCCCCCAACACCCATTCCCGTTCCTTTAAATTCGAGGCTGCCTGGCTTTTGCAACCTGACTTCTCTGCCTTTTTGACAGGTAACTGGGACCCTAATATCCCGCTGCATAGTTCCCTTCAGAAGCTGGCAGGAGACTTAAAAGATTGGAGCTCGCAGACTGTTGGGAACCTGTTCAAACAGAAGCGGGCTATACTTAACAGGATTAAAGGGATTCAAATTCGCCTTGCTAATGATTTTCACCCCGGTCTTGCAAAGCTTCTCAGCAAATTAGAGAAGGAGTTGGATGGAATTATGGAGCAAGAAGAGATGATTTGGTTCCAGCGTTCGAGGGAGCAGTGGGTCAAATTCGGTGACTGTAACACCGGCTATTTCCACCAGCAAGCAAGCATCAGGAGAAGAAGGAATAAGATCCTCAGTTTGAAGGATGCTAATGGGGAGTGGATTACTTGGACTCTTTTGTGAGTTTATTTTCGCAGGATCACTTGGACTATGTGGATCTTTTGCCCAAGAACAGGTTTCCTCGAGCCTCTCAGCAGGATCTTCTTTGCCTCCTTCGCCCTTTCACGGCCGTCGACATCCTCAAGGCCATCCAAGACCTGAAACCCCTGCAAGCCCCTGGGCCCGATGGCTTTCAAGCTTTGTTTTACCAGAGTAATTGGCAGGTTGTGGGTAAGGCTTTCACTAAAATGGCTCTGGATTTCTTCGAGACAGGTCGGTTGGAGGACGCAATCACGGATTCCACGCTCATTCTAATCCCGAAAGTGGATACTCCAGAACTGGTCTCTCAACTCAGGCCTATTTCGTTGAATAACGTAAGCTTGAAAGCTATCACGAAGGCAATGACGAATCGTCTTAAGCCCCTGATGAGGAAGTGGGT